CTGGGATGAAGGATTACCAAGTTAGTTCAAATGAATGACCTTGACCAACTTTCAAAGGTCAAAGGGGTCAAATGTCATAAAATCTTCAAACGACTTCTTCTCAATAACCAAAAGGCCCAGGGTACTGATATTGGGCCTGTAGCATGCTGGGATGAAGGGCTACCAAGTTTGTTTAAATGAATGACATTGACCCACTTTCAAGGTCACTGGGGTCAGATGTCTTAAAATCTTCAAACAACTTCTTCTCAATAACCAAAAGGCCCAGGGTACTGATATTGGGCCTGTAGCATGCTGGGATGAAGGACTATCAAGTTTGTTCAACTGAATGACCTTGACCAACTTTCAAGGTCACAGGGGTCAAATGTCGTAAAATCTTCAAGCGACTTCTTTTCAATAAGCAAAAGGGCCAGGGTACTGAAATTGGGCCTGTAGCATGCTGGGATGAAGGATTACCATGTTAGTTCAAATGAATGACCTTGATCCACTTTCAACCTAATGTCCTTGTTCGACAATCAAGGTCAGAGGCGTCATATGTTTAAATCTTTTAATAGGTTCTTATGAAATCTTAAGATTACAAGTGTTAGATTAATAACAGGTGAGCGATGCAGGCCCATTGGGCCTCTTGTTTAGAATTCGTAGGAGCTGCCTTATCAGGCACTAACTACTAGTCCTATGCCACCTGGCTAATATCTCCCTATGTGTGTATGCCTGTGTGTGTGCTAGAGATGTAATGTGTTCTATTTGAAGTGGGACTGTTTTTCCAATGGCATCATTTATAGTGCCACCTCACTTGAATGCTACAGCACAGATACCACAACATCCACCGCAGACCAATTTATACTCCACCTGGGTTGTTGGAGTTGTGTGGGCAGGAGAAAAACAGTTTCTCTGAATATCCATGCGTACGACGACTTCAGAGATCGAACCCCGCGTGGAAGGCCAGAGTGTTAACCACTCAACCAATCCGCTCAATCACGAGAATTTACTGCATGATTTGTCAAAAATAAAAAGTTGTTTTTAGATATAATGAACTGAAGGGAATTGTTAAACATTCCCTTCAGTTGCCAGTCAATTTTCACTGTAAGTTTGCAGTCAGTTAAAAGAGTTCTGATTGTAACACATTGTGTTTGGTATTACAGGGGTTGAACACAGCAGAATTGCTGAGAGTCTATATTGATTTTGACATGCTGGAAGATGCTGTGATTTTGACCATGGAATATATTGATGCAGTCATGGACTCTTTTACGGGTCATGGGAGTGAACTTTTTAAACTACGGGTAGGTTTCTCCAAACTGGAAATCAAAAAGATTTTATTTTGATTTTAATTAACTGATCACAGTAAAGCCAAGATAACCTAAAAAAAAAACCACACCTGAAAATAGACTTTTTATTTTTCTGTTTCTAGCTATTGTTTTGTTTGATCTAAGAAATTGTTGTTTGCATCGACAGGGTTGCCTACAAAACCACACCCAGACAGCCTGGCTGCCCTATACTAGTATCGACCAGCTGCTCATTGCACTGGGGGATCACAAGCATGACCTCACACATGGCAAGGTAAATGTCAGAAGTAACCAGTAATTGGGGAGATTTGACCAACACTCAAGTTAAAGTAAATACTACCTGCTTTGTATTGAAGGGAATGATTGACAGTTTAAAACTTTTAACTGGGATGTTTTAATGAAATAATTTGCTGAAGCTGTTATAGTATTTCACAACTGAATTTCATTAAAGTCTTTTTAAACATTCAAGTTAAGCCAAACAATGATCTAATTTGAAAGAGCTATTAAAATCGGTGATTATAGCTGAAAAATCGTAATTAAAACCATTTAAATATTGTGTCGTTTCAGCTGTATGATTCACTACAGAACAAAATGACCAGCTACTATAACAAGCTATCCGAGCAGGACTATGACAGCTGACACTGGCTTACCTGATGTGTGTTTGTACCGTCTTCATTGTCTCCCTTTACTCAGTCTTCAGACCAAAACCAACTTGTCATTGTGAATGCATCATCAGTGTCACTTTACGTCTAATTACTCCAAAAACTATCATTTCAACAGAAACAACATCACTTTTGGGTTATATTTGTGCAGTATATGTATGGGAAAATATCTGAAGATCTCTATGTATTTGGAATCATTTCCACCACCATTCAAGAACCCTAAATTTTAGGAATCTGGCTATTAAATTCATTTACGAACTTTCTGTCCCAAAGTTGAGCCCTGAACATAACAGAAAAGTCGTGACTGTTTTCTCTAACTGTTAGGTAATAAAAAGGGACTTGAGGAAATTCACTATAAAAACAACTTCTGTTGCTTATTGAGGAATGGATTATATTTTGACTTTTTGTTATCTGTATTGATGCCAAGCAGATGTATTGAATAAACTATGTACATGTGAATTGCTCCAAAGCTTTTGAGTCATTTATTCTCTTCATTCACTCTGTCATATCTATGCATGTTCTATTTTGGTGATATTAGAACAATTTGTTTCCTTTTGACATCATTGCTACTTCAGACACGAATAGACGATACTGCAGTGTACTCTCCACAAAACGTTGCCTCTTATTCCCGGTTACCAGTTAGGCTATTTTGCTGAACTTGCATCGTAATACAACACAAGTTAGCATTTCAATTTCTAATGAAAACAATACACAGTAGAGCCTTGATAACTCTGACAAGGTTTTATTTCTGCTGAACTGTGTACTGCTAGATTTGCAATAAGTCCCCTATAAGACTAGTGAGACACCTGGATTAATTTAAGGCTGGACGAAAGAGGTCTAAACTGTTGTGCTTATTCAGTCAATACAACCCTTGTCTATACAATTGTATTATCTATCTGTTAATGGTTTAAGTACCCTGTCATTTTTAAGCCGCTCTTGGCGAGAGCCGAGCGGCTTATTAATTCTGTCCAGAGAACGTGTGCATAATTCAGTCTTGCATGCTTCCGCTATATAGTTTCGTTATTGTAAATAGAAAGTAGAATCTCTGACACTCAATTGTGGGTTACATAAAGTCTTCTGATACTCTTCTCCAAGTAATAATCGATACTTTTTATAATTGCTGAAAACAAAATGTTTATCTCCGGTGCATTCTACGAGTGTTGTGGTGGTGAAATTCGTGCACTAGGTTTGAGCGTTTTACTTTTAGCAACTCGGATTGTGGTCTGAGGAGTGTTGGTGTGTGAAACACATATGATTCGAGAAAGCACATGTGAAGACTGTCAAGCATTGACGCTGTCTGTAGAAGGAAAAAGTGAATATATATACTTATAAACCGTATGAGTGATGAAGTATAACCTCTTTTTTGATGTTTCAAACGGAAACGTAATATGACATATCGTGCTTAGGTTGATAACGGTAATGGCTCTGAACTGTGTATGCTTATCAAACACCTCTGTAACACAGCATGCTATTTCTGGTGTATTTAATTATGAAAGTGTAACAATTGAAGAACATGACACAACTGCCGCAGCTGTTTGACAAGAATTCGCGCTGTGTCAAAATATTATCCAATCCGGTGTAAGGGAAATAGCTCTTATGTTGGTAAAGTCTCATTGGGAAATATAATTCAAATATATTCCAAGAACATTTGTGAGATTTTGTATATTCAATGACAGTAAAAAAAGTCACTACATATATTAATAATTATTATTAATATGAATAAAAAATAAATTAAAATGAAAAGAGTACAATGTCTCTTTTCTCCATGCATGTTTTCCCACTACTGTTAATTACCTTCATTTCACAAGCACAAAATGCACCTATTCTTTATTATCCATTCATCGATTGCCATTCTGCACGTAAATGCTCATGTCACATCACTGGAGGATGATAATTAATGAAAATTACAACAATGCGTCACACTTAAAGAGGGTGAAAAAAGAGGAGAGGGAGAAATGTTTTTAAGGCATCATTTAGGAGGTGATTGATTTTGGAAATCCCAAAGGCAACATCATCACATAACCCAATTTTCAATAAGCAGAATACAGAACACATATCTGAGGTATTATAGTAGATACTGATGTTCAACATGTTACTGAAGCAATTAAATTTAAAGTGGTGAGCAGCTTTAATGTCACACTGACATAATTCTAGTTTGGTTTCACCTTCAAGGTCACATCAAGGGTAAAAGGTTAATTGTAATGATTGTCCTAGTAAAAGCTTGCGTGCCTGCACATATTTAGAACTTGCCTGCACATATTTAGACTACATACCACTACAAGGTCAAGGTCACAGCAAGGGGGTCAAAGTTTCAATTATGATAGCAATGCTTATTCACAGCAACTGCCCATCTCGTGAAATTTCTGATTTGAATATACGGGTCAAATGGTCATAATACCCCTCCAGGCAATGACTGGTTTATTTTGATGAAACATCATAGATGGATGTCTCTTTGACTAGATAATGTGTTGCTTTGAAGGTGCCTTTGATAGGGGCTCCACTTAAAAGTAGGCCAAAAAATACAACTACAAAGCATGATATATGTACTAGCAAATATGTAATCTTGTTTTAACGAACAGAAATACAGCACTTCCCATGAGAGCTTCTATATATATACTATTTATGGATCCACATACACAGTACATATATCGTACACAGTTCACAAATCAAAATTTAAAAACATTAGAATCAGTCATCATCCTACTTCAGCAAACCATAATAATGTAGCTGTATCATGAATATTACTGGACTTAAACAACACTCACATTCACCCGAAGTCCGAGTCAGACACATAAAGCCAGACTCAGACACAGGATCCAGTTGCTCAAAGCTTGATTAGCTATTTAACTTTTATACAAATTTTCATACATTTATCATTTACAAAATACTAAATTCACATATAAAATAATAATAAAGCTACTATTTACAAACATGGCTGGACATTAATAAATGAGGACTTGACATAATCACTGCATCTAGCTTACAGATCCTACATCTTCAACATTCCAATACATGTACACTGTACACTTAGCTCTCAGGATTCCTTTTTCACAAAACATTTTCATACATTTCAGAAGTGATCAAACAACATTTGCAGTATCTAGCAAATAGTATTATATCTCTGGAGTCGTACTGTTATTCCACAATCACAACAATCACTTGACAACATTCTGCATATGATTTAACTCTGCTTGAGCCTGTCATCTGCTTGCAGAGCCAGAAAACATTATTTTTGTCGTCTTTTGAGATAAATAAAGTTCATTGACTTTCATTTGACAGATTTTGCCAGGAACGGATCCTAACAGAAATGATCATCAGTCTTGTGTTTGCTGAATGTATCTCAAATAATATTGGAAATAGGGTCATCTTTATTGCTATATGGCCAGTAGGAAAAGTAACAGAAAAATATCTTCTCTAATATTGTTAAATTGTTCACTTTTTAAGACAATATTGATATTTATCTCCTAATAAACCTATGCGTTTTAAGTTCAAAGTTTAAGTTTGACCAGGAAAATGTCTGCCATTCATCTCTGACAATTGAATGTCTGGAAATCTGAAGCTTCATAACCCTGGGTCAGTATGGACTGTACTTGATAAGAAAGTCCTGTAAACAAATAGAAAATGGTGGAAATTATAATTATAATAAAAGATTTGTCTAACGAGTGAAATTAAAATGAAGATGGTAAAACATCAGCCAAATGTTGAAATCCAGTAATCTATTCCTTGTCTTGAGTCTTTTTGAAAAAAACAAAAGCAGGTGGTAAATTTCTGGGTAAAAATAGTTGTTTAATGTAAAACAAGAGACCCATTGCATGCATTAAGAGTCAGAGTGTCCCATATATGGCAAATAATAAGGACAGTCTTTATACTATAGGGCAGTTTGAACTGTATGAAAGCGCCTGTGGTATACTATGTTGTAATTCCGGTGGAGCCCATGGTGGAACAGAGCCTGGTCGAAGGTTGATTCTAGTTGATGTTGAGTTTACATACTGGGCTATGGACTGACCCCTTTGTATACGTGCTACAGCTCCCCCTGTGAATTTGGGCAGGAGCTGAATTACACCAAAGTGTTAAGGCCCAAATGAAGCTGTTCAGCATATGAGAGCCCCATGAGTTAGACTCAAAAATTCTCAAAGTCTCTGTTATTGAGAAGCTGTTTAAAAGTTTTAACACATAAAAATGCAATGTCATGTGACCTTCAAAAAGGGCAGGGATAGGCACTAACTTTTTTGCTTGGTAGTCCAAAGGACTAGTTGAATAGATTATTTACAAGTCCTTCGTCAATGTAAGATTTCCTGGTAAGGAAACATTGTGATCTACAGCACGAAACATCAAAAGTAATTGACTGTAGAGGACTTAAATAACTACTGCCATAAAAATATGGGTAAGTTTTAGGGAAATTTTGACAGTTATCATGCAATAAATATTTCCTATTTCAAGCAGTTTTCAGAAATTTTAATTTTTAGAAAGTAATATTCTTATTTTATAATCATATATTTACAAGTCCAAAGGACCAGTTAGATAAGGTGATTCACTAGTCCTTGCTGAAATCTACTAGTCCAGGACTAGCGGACTAGTGTTGGTGTCGACCCCTGAAGAGTAAAGGTTATTCATTTGAAAAAAACATTAGTAAATGCCCGATCAGGGAAGGTAAAATATCAGTTGTTTAATGAAAAATGGTGGAGGGGAATATAAAAAAAGCAGAAGAAATTAATTTAGTGTGGTTTAAATGTCACATTACCTTGTCATGCTTGTTTCCCACAAATCCTTTTAAAAAGTGGATGTATCGGGCTCCAAACTCAAACACTGTAGCTTTGTCTGTTTTATCTGACATTCCAGGGACCAGCTTTCGCATTACATCACAGGCATCCTTGATCCTTAGTCTATAAATGCAATGTAGTACAATGCTGACATTCTATGAGTTTGAGAAAATAGACTTGGGATAAGTGTTCCTCCTCACATATAGGATTAAAAGTATTGGGGATATCTTTGTTAAGAGAAACAGTATGTACTATTATTTCATTATTTTTGTGAAATACTGTACATGAATCACAATTCTAACAACCGCTTACAAAGTGGGCTGAAGGGCTGAACCATGTTTATTTAATTAGGATGAAAGTGGCCGATACATACCAGTTAATGTTGTGGTCATCTCTTCTATTTAATAAATCATTTTAATACTGAAATATAATTCTTTTCTCTCTACAAAGTAGTGTTATGTGTTAGAGAGGACAATTTTATTTTTAATGCTTTGATCCACTAGGGATCCTAACCAAGACTCTGGCTGACTGCTCTGTCCTGAATACCAATTTAGAGCTAAAGAAATATTCCAGTAGGAAGTAGTTTATATTTTACCAGGGGGACATACTTTTTGCCCTCAAGGAAAGAGCTTGTCCAAATTGTTTTCCATCAATATAGATGCTTGTGAAAGCAAGCCCAAATCTTTCTGTAAAAAATTCCCATGACCCGAAGTGGGTGCCATTGCAAAGAGATGATTATTTCGCAATGCCTCTGCTAGGGATAAAAAGGGACCTCTTTTTTACTAGACCAATGTTGTCTCTATCAAGACCATCCGTCCATCAACTTTTCCTTTAAAACACCTCTAGACCTGAATGGCTCATTCGATTTAACTAAATTAGACTTTGAGCATCCTTGGGCAAAGGGGACTCAATTTTGTATAAACAGAGGATGTGCATGGAGGAAATTGAGGTAAAGGTTTTAAGGCTTCCCAATTTCATGGGGCAGAAAGTATGGACCAAATGAGGTACGGCTGTCGCTGAGAGAGCCAATATTTCTTGATTATTACCAATCATCACAATCAGCAGGATGATTTCAAGTTATGTAATACTGATATGAATTATTCTTAGAACAACACTTATGTCTCTGTATATGGCATTCTTGTATGCCAAAAATCATACTTTAATCATTTGTGCTTGGTACTTGTGGTTATGTATAAACCTGTAAGACAACAGGGAACTTTCTATTTCGCCATGTCTTAGTGCCCTCACCTCCTGCGCCTTTCCTTCATATTGTGTTGTTCCCTACTCTCTTCCCCAGTGTTGTTAAACAAAGAAAGCTCAAACTGCATGCTATCACGATCTGAGCTTGAGTCTAGAGGAGTCGGTGGACTGTCAGAAGAGCAGTTGTGAGAGTTGTCCTCATCTTCTCCACTGCTGTTTAGCTTCAACATTGCTGGCTTCTTACTGTGCTCCTACAACCAAAGAGATGTATCATGTAAAAGTGGAGGATCTTAGCTGTAGTTAGTTTAAACTCATCCTAAATTAAAGTCACATGACAATTGTTCTTTTGTTTCTGGTGCCAACTCCTAATTAAGCAATAAGATGTCTCAATAGGTAAGTTGAATTTGACACTAAAGTGATCCTAGCAGCACCTTATCAAAGTTTTGAATACATTGTTTCTGAAGCTTTAATGTAAAGTGGTCAATGATGTTTTCAAGAAAATGCAATTTATCAAAATGTTTAGACAATTTGAATTCAAGTAGAAAAGCTACTGAGCCAGTTCAGTCTGCTGTGTTTTTCTTATTCTGCCGACTGCCATACATAGACGTCTTAAGTAACATATTATTAGTTGATATACATTGTATTACAATTCTACTAACTCGTATGTTTGGTGTGACAAAATCAGAGGTGTTTGGGGTGTTAGCTGTGGGGGTGAGTTGCTGGAAAAGCTGAGGAGAGGATCCATCACTAGGTGCCAGGTACAGTAGCTGTCCAGTTTTGGGATGGGGAGTAAATAGACAGTGATCCTGGCCATTCATAGGAAGAGACTGTAAGGCTCTCTGACCGGTCACAGGAGTACTCGTCACCAAACTTGTACCATTCTGAAATAAAGAGCAGAGGGCTTAAATTCAAGGCAAAGGTCATACAGTTCATATCATAAAGAAACCCCAATAACATATAATGTCTTTACTTCACACCAATATAAACAGCTGATAAGTTTGCATAACTTATAATAATATTATGTTTTAAAAATCTTTAGCATCAAACCATATACCCAAGTACTTTTTAACAACCCTACGACTGACTGCAGGGCAATGCTTACCTGAGAATGAAGAATTGTACCAGGCATTTGTGCTGTAGAGTTTACTGGTGTAGATTGAATGTTTCCTGTGGCAATTGTAGGTGTCAAACCAAGAGGCCTGTGTAAAGTAAAAAGTGTAGTATACCTGTAACTAGATATCTGTATTGTCTTTATTAACACAACAGTTTCTCTCTGCCTATACTGTTGGCATACTTGACCTAAATGAACAGCTAGTGCTAGTGTCTGGAAACTAATTATTTTATTTAAATCATAATCTTTGCTCTCAGATCATCACATCACTTTGAAAAACTGACGTTAAGAGCAAACTTGAGTATCCCCTTCTCATCAGCAGTTTATATACCAAAATGTAGACATATTAACACAATAAAAGCAATTTACAACTGCTGTCTGGAAACAAATTATATATTTTACTGAACAGTTCAGATTATATGACCTTTGACATTTATTAACCCCAAAAGCAATCCCAAGCATCATTCCCTTCCAAATGTGAAGCACTGGAACCAACTACGGATGAAAGAGCAACATGTATTTTTTAACACATGTACCAAAATTCTGTTTTGCTGTAATCAACAGATCATGAGACCTTTAATCTACTTAACCACAAACAATCTTTTAAAGAGGATCACACTCATCGTACTGTGAATTTTTGCACAAGTTTCAATTTTCCTGATTCATATATCCACGAAGTAATTACATGTTTGACAGGAAGGAATTCTCTCTATGAGTAGTATACTGCCAGCTTTTCTGGGTACAAGTGATCCACATATACACAGGGATGTAGGGCTGTCACAATATATCGGAAAACAGGTGTATCGTATTGTACCACAATACAAAGATGAAATTTTGCTGTATTGCAACATTTTTTCGAAATTACATTTTTAGCCCACAGATGATGGGCTATTCAAATCACCCTGCGTCCGTGGTCCGTCCTTAAACAATTCTTGTTATCGGTATTTCTCAAGGAGTACCTGAGGGATCTTTCTAAAATTTTATATTGAGGTTCCCTTTGATCCTTAGCTGTGTAGGGCAACTTTTGAGACTGATCGGATAAACAACATGGCCGACAGGCAGCCATCTTGGATTTTGATAGTGAAAGTTTGTTATCGGTATTTCTCAAGAAATACCAGAGGGATCTTTCTCAAATTTTATATGTAGGTTCCCCTTGGTCCTTAGCTGTGCAAGGCAACTTTTGAGACTGATCGGATAAACAATATGGCCAACAGGCAGCAATCTTGGATTTTGATAGTGAAAATTTGTTTAAATATCGCTATTTCTCAAAAAGTACCAGAGGGATCTTTCTCAAATTTTGTATGCAGGTTCCCCTTGTTCCCTTGTTGTGCAGCAGTGCCTGAAATGGACGGTCGCTTGCTCGCCAATGGCGGTTAAAGTCTTGCTCAAGTTACTAAAAGTTTTCAAAAGTGAGGTAGTCACTGGCCCAACAAAAATAGTTTGAGCTACTGTTGAAAAATTAATGAATAAAAGAAATTATAGTCCCTTCCACATTAATTGGGGGCAGTACATGTTTCAGTTGTCATTACTTCGATTTGAATCTAACTGTCCATGATTTTTTTTTCTTGCTGATTTTCTATATAAATACTGCCAGGGTGTCTTCTTTGAGGTGCGAGTTTTGTGTATTTCTTTTTGGGAAGACCTGAATGGAGTGGATCATGTCAGGTTTTAACTAGGGTTGAAGAAATAAAAATATAATGTTTTATTCTGTTTTACATATATTACAACCATTGTCATGATATGTGTAATTTAAATGTGCTGAAGCATTGTGTTAAATACTGTGGAAATATTTCTTCCCAAAACTATTTGGTCCACCAATATGTCATTTGGGCCAGTGCTTCAAATTTTTTACTTGCCTAAAACAAAAATTTGGGGCAGCCAATGCAGGTTCCCCACTATCCTTTATTGTTCATGTTTACTTTTGAAACTGATCAGTTAAACAAAATGGCCTATCGACAGCCATCTTCGATTTTGGACATTGAAGGTTTGTTAGTATTATTTCTCAGGAATAACCTGAGGGATATTTCTCAAATTTGATATGTAGGTTGAATAGGTTCCCCTTGATCCCTCGTTGTGCATGTTCTATTTTGAGACTGATCATAAAAACAAAATGGCTAAAGGAAGAACTAAACAGATCTTTCTCATATTGCAATGATCGATTCTATTTCTTTCACATTAAGTACTGTACTAGTTAATATGTGAAATGACAAACTCACTTTGAAGGCTGGCTTTCATACACATCAGTATTAAGTTTAGATCAAAAGTTACCTCAAGGTGCATTTACTGTAAACATGACTTGATCAAACAGATTAGAGGAAAGAAGAGAAAGATCAACTGACAAAGAACTTATGATGATGGTACAATGGTGGGCACCAAGATCCCTCTGGTTATGTATCTGCTCTGACAGTGTTTTAACTTAGCAAATTACTACAAATTCGAACAGATATGCCAATAAGCATGAAGCAGGCTTCAAAAAGTTCAGATTTTGTAATCGATGGTTGGTTTGACAAAAATTTGATAATATTCTGACAACTTATTAAAAAATCAAGCACATCCTTCCTATGACAATATATTGGGATACATATCGCAATATATTCATTCTGTATTGCAATATATAGCGATACACCCTTGGCGAATTGTGACCCCCCTACAGGGAGGGGTGATCTTTTGGAAAAACTACAGAATTTGGGACCCACAAATTTATCTGATTTTACAGAAGTTGTTTAGAAACAAACTAAAACAAAAGTATTTCCACATTCAGATGGTGATGCAATCAAAAATCTTCATAAATTTATAAATTGTGATTATTAACTCGATTACTGTCATTTCATTGGAATAACTTAATAAGAGCTGTGTAAATTGTCAAGAAACTTCGAAAGAATATTTACTGTAATACAGGTGAGCTTAGTAGACTGATATACATACAATAATATTATAGGCTGTCGTTAAAAAACACTATTATTTCTAACAGTAACATATGAAACATTAATAATTTAATTCTTACCAAGATATAGGGATATGTGGCTGGTTGAGCAGATTGGGGAGTATTGTGTAATGGTCATTCAGACTATTGGCACCTACAGGGTCTTCTCTCTCCTCTATCTGGTACTGTGGCAATCTCTTCTCGTTTAAACTGCCAAAAAATGGTTTCTTGTAACGAATCAGTGGATAAAAATCAACAATTGGATTTAGCCATTATTTGTGATGCACAAACTTAAAACCTGGCTTGTTCTGCATGACCATAAAACTGTCTGTATTAACATTTCACATTTAGTCTAAAATGGTTTATTGGTTGTACAGGATTTACTAGTAACTCCTATTATTATTAACAGCTAAGGTTATTTAAAGACATTCCTCCATGTGTGTTGTGTAAGCAGGGTATGTTGTATGTTGGTGTATATTCCTCCTTTTGATATAGGCATACAGTAGCGCTGATCTGAATTCTGATGCAGTCTAGAATGGGGTTTTCCTTTGTGATTCTACGTGAAACAGATTACCGTGAAGAAAACATTTTTCATGATTAACTTACTTTAAATTATTGAATGATATCAAAAGTTTAATGGTGTGGATGGGGAAAAAACATATTGACACAGACAGAACTGTAATCTCTTATGAGCAACTGTACTAGCAGGAGTCATCCCACTTCAATGCATAGAAATTAGCTAAGGTGGGATTTTGAGGCATATATATATAAAAAAAACATTTTCATAGTAGCAAACAATGTCTCATTCATAATAAAAAGTTGAGATTTATCTTAAGCCTACCTGTCGTGCAATGTCCCATCAATAGCAGAACACAACAACTGTTGCTGAAAACCAACTTGTCTTGAGATGTGAGCAAGAAGATTTTCCTCGCTTAACGAATTGTCCAAGCCGGAATTAGCATCTTCGTTCTGAAATGATCTTTTGAGTTTTTCAATGTCTGCTTCCGCCCCCGCTCTCGGGACACACTGTTTTTCTAGCATCTGTAGTTCTGCTTCCGATACTCTTTTTATTGTGTTTCCGTTGATGATGACATAATATGGTGCATCACAATCGCCATCTCCTTCAGTTTCCTCACAAACTGTATTTGGAATATCCGCGGTGTAAACTACTGGATCTGAAGTGCCGCCTGGACTGACGGGTTTACAACGGATTACACCACTGTCTGGTGGGCAAGCAGACGACTCATATTCCTCTGAAATTTTGCTGCACATACTTATGTAAGGGAAGGGAAATATCGAATTTGTAAACCAGCCTAAGAGCAGAGCCCGAGAGGTTTCAAATGTCAAGACAGGGTTTTCCCGTTGTAGATTGCTCGGCCTACCGTGGCTACTGTAACAGAAGCGAAGGCAAATGTCTTCATGCAAACTTCCTTATACTACAGCGAATCGTGAAAATATCCAAACGTTGGAACAAAATCTTCTTGTTTGTCGTAACCAAGTATTCGGTCTTAAAATGCTAGAAACCCGGAAGCCAATCAGCTGTTCAACACATTCCTAGCCAGCGGGATTTGTGATCATATGAAGAACGTGAAACTGACTACGAGCTACGCGCGTTCTAACACACTCGTTCAAAAAATCCGCGATCTGACGTAATCGTATTATGTGACGTCATAGAGGGAAAAGACATGCGCATTATGCTACATTCGTTAATTGACGCCCGCAGATCTTTCAAATAAGGAATATGAAGTTTTAAAATACGTACTATAATGTTTCAAATATTTTTAAAATAAAAATAACAAAAATATGTTGGAGTTGTACATTTTGAAAGTTTTAATTTATAGCACAGTAGAGATGACAAGAATTCAGACGTTTTCAAAAAAATTAATGTTTTAAACGGTTCTCTATCAGGATGTTGAGTTTTATCAAAACTGGATGTTAACAAAGTTCACTTTTTTAAAGGGAGGAAATTAAAACAGAAGCTAATAGGGTAATGATTTAACGTGAAAGATTTACGGTACTTCACTGATATGAAATTATCAAAAGGCTACATAACAGCATATTGTTTATACTGGTTTATATATCTATCTGTATCCTCGGGTTACCGGTTTCCGCGCACTTAAGAAGCATACGCGATTTCGTGTTCAAAGAAAGATAACTCGAATACACTAAAAAGAAATTCTCTACAGTGACCTGCAAGAACAAAAGCTTCGTTTGGAATAAAAAATATATCTTTGATCGTCAAATCAAATATCAAAACAACTTTTTTTAAATTTCACCTTTTTAATTTATTTTTCAAGATGTCAAATTAAACGAATTCATGTATTTTTTTTTAATTATTTATTATATTTATTTAGTTATGATATAGAATCTGTTATATTTTTTTTCTACAGTCTTATATCGGTTTTGGTTGATGGTAAGTTATTTCTCATTTTGTTCTGTTTCAAATTGGTGAAAACTGAAGGTTCATTGCATTACAAGTTTTACGTTTCATTGAAAACTCTGTTTATCGATATAAGAATGTCTCCTTGGCTCTTCGGAAGTGGAAAAAAATCGGCGAGGAGATGTGGCCTCATTTGCATACGACATTTTCGTACGTTTGTCAGACTACAAAAAAGACTGGTTCATGAATGAAATATATAACCGTTTTTTCAGGTATGGGTTCATTTTGAGCAAGATAAAAAGAGCATCAAGCAAAACTGCATATTTATGAGTGTTTTTTAATCGGTGATTAAATCTTATGTTTTCCGGACGAACTTCCGGTAATATTTTTGTCAGGTTACTGACGATGGCCAAACGTCTAAAATATCCTTGTGTTGTGTCCAGCAGGTCACATAGTTACGAGATATAGCTTGATAAAATGTCTGCGCGGAAATACATAACGCGCGGAAACTGGTGTCTAGACGATATGTTATACTCCACAGATACCAAAATGGCTTTAATGCTTTAATCTTTAATTTAATTTACATGATAGACTAAAAAGAATATAATTGTATTGATCACCCAAATCGCTATAAACAACACACAGGCAACTTACATGATACAATTTAGATACAATACTTTTTATTTAACGTCGCATATTTAAAACAATAAAACATTGCCACTGTAGTGCTATTCTTGCGATAAACATGAATGATTGATTCAATAACTTAAGCTATTTGATACTTTTGAGTTTGGTTTGATTTGGTTTGGTTTAGTATTGTTTAACGTCCTATCAACAGCTATGGTTATTTAAGGACGGCCTCCCCTGTGTACCAAAAACACGCGTGTAGTGTATGCGTGTGCGTTTTGGGAGGCTGCGATATGTTCGTGTTTGTCTCTTTGTGATAGCGCGGAACGGATGCCGACTTTATAGTGCTCCTCACTGTAACATACTGCCGAAGACACCCAGCAGGACACCCCAGCCGGTCACATTATACTGACAACGGGTGAACCAGTCGTCCCACTCCTAATTTGCTGAGCGTTAAGCAGGAGTAGAAATGTCTCGGCCAGGGGACAGAACCCAAAGCCATCCTCACAGAGGCGAACGCTCAATTAAAGGCCACTTGAAGTGAGGCATTGTCAAGGGAGATATTAGGAAGAAGAAAATTGTTCAAAAAGAAGAGAAAAAAAATGAGATCCCAAATTTAGTCGCCTAGCTCTTACGATCATGCAATGGGGACAGTAGGTACAATTCTTACGCCCTACCTGCAGGGTTCTTTTGAGTTTGATATAACAATACGTGACTATGTACAACACTAAAAAGGGCAGATCAGTGAAAATTGAACATTTTTATTTAATTGGAATTTAGAAACACTCTCGTGAGATTCAGGACATTTTTGTATAGAAGTTTACTTTAATTTAAAATTAAAATGTATATATTTACATTAAAAATGTCGAATCGGCCTACCAAAACACACACAGAGAACATTTTGTGGAAGTGACTTTCCTTTCGAAGTCGGGATATCGCGATCATATCAGTCGATGGCCTTATTAACATGGTCTTCTTCTTCTTCTTCCCTTCATCTTCTTCTTTCAACTATTAAAATGTTTTCGCCAGAAAAATTTAACGATTATTTTAAAAATAAAAATGGTGCATGTTTTAAATCGTGTTCTTATCTCAATTGGATCTACTCAAACGAATTTTTATAAAATTTAACAAATCATAATCAATTTAAAAGCAAGCATGTATATGGAAATTTATAAAACAATAGATACCTAAGTTGCATACCTATTTTTTCAAGCTTTTAAGACAGAAAATATTACGAGTTTGTCAGTGCTTTTTAATAACAAAACAACGTGAACTTCCTACAATCTACTCAGCGCTCAAATTTGTAGCTAAGAATGCCAATGCATCGCCATTTTTATCTGTAGCAAGTTGGTTTTCGCTATGCAAGTTTAAAATAGTCATCATTATGAAAATGATATGTTATAACAATTTTGGTATTTCATTACTTATTTAGGTCAACTGTACTGCAATCTTATTAAAATCAGATGCTGGGAAAGCTTACCGTCTCAAAAAGGTTCTGTCAGCAAGTCACATGTCACACCTCCCCGTTTCTGGTGATCCTGGAAATGCTTAGTAGCAATACTAAGTAGCCGAGTGACAGTGGTGAAAGGCGAGCCTCCAGCGCCTTCAAAAATCTTGAAACCCGTGGCGAAGGGAAGGGCAACCCTAACAGAAAAACCCAAGCCCACCAGGTTGGGGGTTGAGCAAAGGGCTAACAACCCGGGCCCGTATTCATGAAACCGTTCTCATGCTCAAGCATGGAATCTATGCTCAATCCAGCTTACTTGTAACCCACCTAAATCATGTCAACGATCAAAAAATCAAATTCAAACATTGAAAACAGTATTCGGCATCAAGTTTCTTTATTTTTTGTCCAAAACTTTAACAACAAGAAATATTTTTAAAATAATTTATAACTGGAAAAAGAAATTAGACTTGAACACAAAATCCATGCTTGAGCATGAGAATGGTTTCATGAATACGGGCCCTGGTGAAACAATAACGTTACGGAAACAGCAACGAAGAAATCTAACACAACGCTGTGTAAAGATCTTCCATGGGCAACGACTCGTATGACTGACAGTAGTGAAAGCCGAAAGGGGGCTACTGGCACGACAATGGAAGTTCTGAACTCAAAATCAAGAACCAACCTTGGTTTTTGGAATATCCGTACTATGTACGAATCAGGTAAGCTTGCACAGGTAACATCGGAGATGAGACGCTACAACCTACATATCATGGGTGTGAGTGAATGCAGATGAACAGGAACAGGTAGACAGACGACAGTAACGGGTGAGACACTTCTATACTCAGGTAGAGATGACGGTCAACACACAGAAGAAGTGGCATTAATCATGAAAAAGGAAGTAGAGCGATCATTGCTAGAATGGGAACCTGTCAGCAGTCGTCTGATAAGAGCTAGACTGAAAGGGAAGTACATCAACATCACTATAATCCAGTGCTATGCCCCAACGAACCACAGCGAAGACGAGACCAAAGACAACTTCTACCTTAGTCTTCAGGCAGAAATGGAGAAGACAGCTAAGCACGATCTCATAGTCGTCATGGGTGATCTAAATGCGAAGGTGGTAAATTAGGGTACAGAGGATGACAGGGCTAGGGGGAAACATGGATGTGGTAGCATGAACAACAACGGAGAGAGACTGGTGGCCTTCAGCAACATGAATGACCTGGTCATTGGAGGGACCTTGTTTCCGCATCGACTGATCCACAAGCTGACATGGTGCTCCCCAAATGGACGAGACAAGAATCAAATAGACCATTTAATGATTAGCGGGATGTGGCGACGTTCACTAATGGATGTCAAGGTGAGGAGAGGAACTGATGTTGGTAGCGACCATCACCTGGTAGCAGCCTCTATCCATCTCAAGCTTAGAAGCACTGGTCCACAGCCCAAAGGTCACATACGTTTCGACGTGGATAGACTGAAGGATGCAGGTGTAAGAACAGAATTTACCCTTCAATTGAGGAATAGATTTCTAGCTCTAAAAAACCATGACGAGCCGATGGAGGGAGAACAGGATGAGCTCCTTAACAACAGATGGGACATGATTACATCAGTGTATAGACAGAGCAGCGAGAAATGCGTAGGCAAGATACAGAAAGAAGAAAAGAAAAGACTGGATGACACCTGAAACCTGGAAAGCAATTGAGACAAGGCGCGGTATTAAGAAGAAGGTGATGGATGCAAAGTCTGAGAGGCTGAAAGAAAGCTATCTGGAAGAGTTCAGAGAAGCACACAGAATTGTGAAGAGCCTTGTAAGAGCAGACAAAAGGAAGTGTCTTGATGACATGGCGTCAAAAGCGGAAGAAGCAGCAGCCCGCAACGAACAAAGTACTGTATATAAGATTACGAAACTTATCTCTGGGAAGTGTCGCACAAATAACAGCACACTCATAAACAAAGAATGAAGACTACTGACAACTGAGAAAGAGCAGGAGAAGAGATGGACAGAACACTTTAAAGAAGTTCTCGACAGGCAGCCTGGGGCGGAAGAAGCAGACATACAGGAGGCTGGAGATGACTTATAAGTCAGCACCGACATACCCTCTAAAGAAGTCATTAAAGCTATCAAGTTAATGAAGAATGGAAAGGCCCCATGCCACGATAACTTAAATGCCGAACTATTCAAGGCTGCCCCAGAGCTTGCAGCCCCCATTTTAGAACCCCTGTTTAAGATAGTATGGCAGGACGAAAAGATACCATCAGGATGGAACAGAGGAGTAATTATAAGAATACCATATAAAGGATCGCTATATGACTGTAATAAGTGGCGTGGAATAACCTGACTTTCTATACCCAGCAAGATATTGTGTAAAATCATTGTAAGGCGGATAACAGATGGAAAAGACACACTGCTGAGGAAGGAACAGGCTGGATTTAGAAAGGGAAGAGGATGTACTGACCAAATTTTTGCACTCAGAAACATCATAGAGCAATGTTCAGAATGGCAAAGACAACTCCATATAAACTTCATTGATTTTGAGAAAACCTTTGACAGTATTCATTGAGACAGCCTCTGGAGAATCATGCGTACGTATGGGGTAACACTTAAGATGGTTAATGTTATCAGAAGTTTGTATACCTTCTTCACATGTAGTGTTGGAAACAGCGACCTCAGCTTCGAAATCAAGACTGGAGTGCGGCAAGGATGTGCCATGTCCTCGATCCTGTTTAACATGGGCATAGACTGGGTCATGAGGAGGACAACGGAAGACGTACCTAGAGGAATACGTTGGACACTGTTCTCAGCGCTAGAGGATCTGGATTTCGCAGATGACATTGCTCTGATGTCTCATTCATACCAACACATACAGGAGAAGACAACTCGACTCAACAACTTCAGTCAACAAGTTGGACGCAAGATCAACCAAAGGAAGACTGAAGTAATGACCCTCAATGTGCAAGCACCATCACCAATACATGTAAGGGAAACTGACCCCACAAGCACAGAAACATTCACCTACATAGGAAGCACAATCAGCAAGGATGGAGGAGTTAGCAAGGACATCGCTAACAGATTGAACAAGGCCAGATTTGTCTTCATACGCCTGAGAGAAGTGTGGAAATCAGCACAGTACATCACCAGAACCAAGCTGCGTATATACCAGAGCTGTGTGCTAGCAACACTTTTATAAAGTTCGGAATGTTGGCGGATGACAGAGGAAGACTTGTCGAAATTGTCAACATTTCACACAACCAGACTGAGAACAATTCTGAAGATTTTCTGGCCAAGAGTAATCTCCAATGATGATGAACTGATGACACAGTGCAACAAGGAGAGTATGAGAGACATCGTCAAGAAGAGACGCTGGAGGTGGATTGGAAATGTGCTAAAGAGGGAAGGTGACTCCATCACAAAGGTTGCAGTACACTGGACTCCTGAAGGTAAACGGAAGAGAGGTCGCCCAAACACCACATGGCGACGCACGGTGGAAACAGAGCTCAGTGACATGGATCACAGCTGGAGAACTATCGAGCGTTTAGCAAAAGATCGACAGGTGTGGAGGAACTTTGTTGCTGCCCTAAACGCCACCGGGCGTATTAGGCAGTAAGTAAGTAATGAGAGATCTGATTTTAATTAGATTGACTGTACTGAAGAAGGGAAGCTCTTTTGATTGTTGGTTTCGCATAAAGAGAAAATAACACAAACTAAAAAAATATGGCAAAAATAGTAGCTCACGAATCACCCATCCTTCCTCATTATGTGACCGTTTTAGGAAGAGAAACCGTGCTCCCACAAATTTAAAGATTTTGTTTATATTAAATGTTCAATTTGCCAAAAAAAGGTGGTAGAAAATGAGGATTTTTTTAATGTAAAACTAAGTTGTAGGGGAAAACCTAAACTGCTTTTCTAAGAAAAAAATATAAGTGAAAGAACTATCACTTCCATAATTAAGAGAAAAATCATAATTTTATCGTATTGCGCAAACATTTATAGATTTCTGATAACATGGCATGAATTTATGTTTTTTTAACATTTTCAGTTTTCTCGAAAAGATGTATTCTGTTGAATTGAAAAAACCCGAGCACATGATACATTGTTTTACCGTTATTATTATGCAAGACACTCCTACTCATATAAAAGTTTATACAGGATTTTCTTCAGATGAGTACATCCCGAAGACCGGGGTCCTATAGTAAAAAATTTCACTAATCAGAATAACAAGCAAGTCTATGTTTATTTTTGTAAACGACATGATTGTCATTGAAGCATGCCAACTGTCTACTAATGTGCCAGGAGCATAGGGGCCCGGTTTTGGAATTTTGGGTAATATATTATGTAAATTGTAATAATTTCGGTTAATAATACATCAGTAAATAATAGCAGCACTTTTTATCCGGTGTTTATACACATTCTAAAACCTTATAAAATTCGAGGGCACCGAGGTATTAATTGAAATTATTACAATTTACGTCATACATTACCCAAAATCCTGCAACCGAGGCCCTGTGACCAGGGTCTGGGATTGAACTTCACACCTAGGCTACATTCGCGTTACCGGTTGAAACGGTACGTGTGGCGCAGAAATTTTCCACGATAAACGAACACACTTGGACCGTTCTATAAGCAGAGCTAAAAATCCACAGTTTCGGAGAATAAAAAACAATGTATCAAGAATATTATGCCCTTCTCTCACGCGTCCACTAAATTACATAACGTATCTTAAAAACTACATGTGGCTTGACATTGTTTTAGAAAGAAATAACGCAAACTAGCAATATTCAGCAGTTTAGTTTCGGCCAGGTACGTCTGAACCCCTCAATCTACACGTACCAAATTTTCCTGAGGTCAGCCTCGGTCCAAATCTGTACCTGTCGTTTTCTTTACAGGTTCAACCGGTTCAACCGTTTCAACCGGTAACGCGAATGTACCCTAAGGTATATCGCGTTATGTAGCGTGTTTAGAGTTATCTCTCCTGTACTGTGTAACTCTCCAATGTTAGGGCTTGGGCTTGGATTGTAAACAACGGAAACGTAATCAACAGGAGTTGTTATACTACATCGATATTTGGAAAGAAGCAACGAATCAGGGAATCATGTCCGAACCAAGTAATTATATCTACGATTAGTGATACGTCTGCTAGTGTTTAGATCTCACTTACGATATTAATCAGGATGTTAAACACATCCATTCAATTAGGTGACATCATACACGGATCCTGTTTACTGCTTCGTAATAATTCAGTCCATACAGACGTATTAGTCGCAACTTTGAAAGAGTTGAGATTCCCATCTTACAACCATATACAATGTCTTCAACTGCTGAGCATATTCATAAAGAGACGGATACACATGTATATGCTATCAGGATGGGCCCGATTCTGACCCCTCCCTTGAAGTCTATGTCCCTTAATCATGGGTTTGAAATGCATATGGTTTGGTAGTACTAATATTAATGCCCGCCCTCCTCTGACGACTCCACGGGTGCTGGGCACACTAATAGTAGTATGATGTGTATACACTATATAATGATATATACACATCATATTACTATTAGTTACTTGTCGTCAGAAATTATGCTATCACAGCTCACCCTATAACTAAATATATAATTGTGGAGTATTATGAGACAATTACACAGATGATACCAGGATGGCACTGAGTTCTGCCCTCACCCTTGAAGTGACTTAGTCCAAGGGTCATAACTTTGAAACTGTTGAGCTCCCCAACCAATACAATATAACTGTTGGTCTTCTTCTTCGTTCAGTAAGAGACGAATCTCCAAGGATGGAGCAATTTCTGTCTCTGGAAATTGTGCGTGCATGTGCGGAAAACATCAATTTAGTTTTGGTACTGTAGATTAAAATCAAAATGTTTATATAAAGGGTAGAAAGGTTTAGGGGGGAATGGGGTGTAGTGTCGTGTCTCATGGCATAACTGAGAATTAATTGTGAAACAGTGCACTGAATGCACCAGAGTCACACAATTTTCGCACAAAGACATGTTAAACTTCGTCCCCTGGGCAACTCAGGGGCAACAGGTGTTCATATATACATAATGTGAGAAGTACAAACCACCCTTGAATGATTCAAGGCTGTCTGCCTCAGCCAGTGAGGAAGGTAGGGGCTGTCAAGTCTGTTATCATCCTTGGCATGTATGATGACTTGAAAAAGTCCGTGGAAGTCTGTATAGGACGAAAACGATGACTCCCTCGTGTCCTGGAGTCGGCCTTGGTGAGATACCAGTCGGCTGGAATAGCTAAAAGATCATGAGTGATCTTATAGAAGTTGACCAGTCTGGCCTTCGGTTCCTCCTACGGTTCTGCAGGGAGTCCCACTGAAGGGTGTTGACCATGTCCGACACACATCCTGGTGTTCTGGAGTGTAAGTGATTGTGGACATATCTGTTCGTTCTTCTCTGGACAGCCTCAAGCTGGCTGATGGGCTCTGCACGGTATGGATCCCAGGCGGAGCATAAGTATTCCAGTTGAGGTCTGACAAGGGCAGAGTGAGTGAGAGCTTTGCACGCCTGGTGCATCCAGACATGTTACAGCACAAGACTCCTAGCCTTCTATGCGCCTTAGCTGTAATGCTGTTTATATGTAGGCCCCAGGACAGGTCGTGTGACAGAGTTACTCCGAGATATTTGCTCTCTGGAACAACTTCGAGTGATTGCTGGTGGAGTGAATAATTGAAGCAAAAAGGATGTCGTTTCTATGATGTTCTGCTGACAAAGCATTTAAGCAGTGTTGGTCATAAAGGGAAGAAGACTGTTTAATGTTACACACATCATGATATTAAAATTTGCCTTGGGTTCAGCCCAACCATTAAGGCCTTGATTCCTTTGTCATTAAATGGAAATATTTAAGATCCTTATCCAAGAACAATATATATTTACAATTGCTGAGCATGAAGATTTGAATGCCTTTATTCGACCAGGATTGTAAGGGGCCTTACCCTAACCAGTGAATCTTCTTTACAACTTTAAATGGGAATAATCTGCATTTATAGCTTAAATAACCAGATGGGTAATACAATTTTCTGTTTATTATTCAACAGCTGCCCCGCCTGATGGTCCTCCTCCATCCTATGAATCTGTGATCCAGGGCCAAGTAGTACCACATGTCCCTGGAGTTGAGCCCAAGGACAACAGCAACATACCCCCTTATGGGGGATACCCTGTGCCTCAGCCACCATACCCCACCCCAGCAGACGGCTCACAGCCATACCCCGTACAAGCAATGGGGCAGTACCAAGGGGCCTATCCACAGGCAGGATATGGCTATCCTCCTGGCACCGGATCACACCCGGGATATGTACAAGCACAACAGCCTCAGTATAATATGCCATATGGTCAACCACCAGGACAAGTGGGCGTGTCACCTGTGGTGTACACCACCAATACCACCTTAGGGGTACGTAGATATGTAAGCTGTGTTCAGGTTAACTGATGCTGAGTGTAGAATAAGGCATCTGAAATGTGTCCCAATGTTTTGCAGAACAATCTTACCATAATGCAACACTATTGTACTTGTAATGTACGGCTGATATATTTTCGTTTCAAAATTTCACTATTTTTGTTTAAGAGCTATTTAAAATAAGGACAGTTATGATTTAAACATTTAACCTAGGGTCCTGGTTATGTTTTCAGATGTTTGAATGTCCTTAAAATAATTATACTTTTTGTTTACTTTTGTAGGTTAATGCCCAGAACAATTTACGGAGGAAGAAAGCCCTTTTATGTACCACCGTGATGATTGCCACTTTTATAGCAATCATCATTTTCATTATGCAAATCACCCTATAAGTTATTTTGGCTCATCTTTGTGAATGAGGACATTTGTAACAATATCCAGGATTGTGACTGTTGTGATATTTTTATTGTTGTCTGTACAGTTTTTTATATGCTTCACAATGGTTAAATTTGTTAGTTCAGCATATCACAATTATTTTTCTGAGGGAACATTTTCTGATCTATAATTTAGTCTGAATTATTAAGATTTTTTATTTACCGAAATATGTTTGTACTTGCCAACTCTCCCTATTTAGGAGGGAGACTCTCGATTTTGGGCCCTAAAATTTAGCATTTTCAACCAGTGAATTTGCTAAACTATTCCTATTTTCAAAGATCTGATGATTTAACCTGAAAGAACAGCTCAAAAGATGCCATTTAAAAGTGTCATTTTTTCTCAATGGTGTACATACACTTATTTTATTTATGCTTTTAATTCTGAGAATGTGTAATCTCCCAAATGAGATTTAAAACAGTTGGCAAGTATGTATGTTTACCATGTATACAGGTTTTACTTGTGTAAGCTGCAAAAGTCATTATGTATAGAAGGGGGAATGGGAGGATGTGCCAGTAGAAGGGATTTGGGGAGGGGGAGGGTGCTTCATATTTGTCTTTAGAAGTTGGGAGGGAGTAAGGTGGACACTGCATTATTCAAAATTGTCTCAACAGTGTATATTTAAGGATTGAACTGTATACAATGGTAGGCACTTAAATCTTAAAGGGGTGCATTTCGATCCTTATATTTAATATCTAAACAAAAAAGAATGTATTTCATTTTTCCGTTTTTCTTTTCTTTTGGTTCATTATGAGTTTAAACAAACAGTTACAAAAGATGTGGGAACAGCCATTCTTGTGGGAACAACATTATGTTCCTATGGTTACCAGTTCCATTAGGAAACCTATAAATTGGAAACCATTTGTGAATTTCCCGTCATAATTTGAATTTGACCTGAACAATTACAAAATCAAAAACATTTGCATGTGTGGTAATGCTTTTTCATGTTATTGGATTAAAACTACATTTTCGGTTGGAAGATTTATCTTTAAAATGTACAACAGTAATGTAGATATATACAGGTATAAACAGAAAGTGTGTATTATTACACTTAATATTTATCTTTGAGAATCTGGATCAATATGGAGATGGACTTTTACCAAGCTTGGCATTTATTGAACTTACCATATTTAGGTAAATTTTTGTGAATTGTGTAACCTCTTTAATCTTGTGCCATCATTGGTGTAGATATAAATTATAATTAACCTATCTATATTAAAGATAATTAAGATAAATCCTAGGGTCAGTTATATCTTGTCTTGTCTGTAATACATGTCAATCAAGGCTTATTTAATCACGTACGATCGAAGGTGCTTTTTCGCTAGAATTTAGCAAGTATTTTGGCTGCATATTTAAATGAAATAAATAAATAAAAAGCAATTACTTCACTGATAATAAAGAAAGTAGTGTTAGTTACATTTTTTTTATTAAACTTTCTACAAAATATCTTTATTTTACAATCTTCTTCGTAGAGCTTAGGCATTTGACTAAGTTCACTTCCGGTTTTGAGGGCTGAAAAACGTCAGAAAACATGTATTCTGTTTATGTCATGTTTCTGTTAATATCATGTTTTTCTCTGACAAATTGGAAGTGATATTAAGCGAAATTTACTGTAATACCATATCACTTGGACATTTAAATACAGTAATTTCCGGGTTTTGACATCTGAAATGGTCAGAAAAACATGTTTTCTCTTAAGTCATGTTCCGGTTAATATCACATTTTCATCTGACAAATCAGAAGTGGTAATAAGCGAAATCTACTGTATCACAAATTGTTAGGTAGCAGACAAATGCAAATTACACAATAATTTTGTATGTTAGTTTTTGTTTTAGAAAAGTGCATATAATTTAGCCGGTATGCTAGATGTTTTATTTATTATCATAGGATAGCAAACTACAATAAAATACATGTACAACATATATGTACCAGGTACATACCAGGTAGCTGTAATTGGTTTTCAGGACAGAAAAGTATGTCTTGTATGTATGTATTTATCACATAATGTACCAAGTTATCCAGTGAATATACGCATGTCATATTTTTTGGCATATTAACCCATGTTATATGACCTATCAGTCCTGTGATTTGTTGTAAATTTCAATTGTATCAATTATGATGTAACGCCTAGGACAAGTACATTACGTCACAGACTTACGCACTGGAGTCAAAATGGCGTCTTTTTACATTTCAACATTGCATGAAAATTGTCATTTTACACTAATAAATGGCACAAATCTTCATTATGTGATAAAAATGATCTTACACTCGTTTTCATTTCATATGAAATTTATGAAAATTGTCACAAATTTTTCATTTTAACTCGCCAGAGGCTCTCTAATTGGAAAAATTCTTAGACTCGTTCATAAATCTCATATGAAATGAAAACTTATGTAAGATCCTTTATATATGTAATACGTAATGTACAATCAAAGAAATTAATTGATAATTGATTCTTGATGGAATTGGGGTGCTTTTTCATGTAACACAAAAACACATGTAAACGTGTATATATTTTCTGTATTTATAATATCAACACAGCTGTATCAAGACAGATTTACAGTAAAGTACCTTACATCTGTGGCTATCTTTTATAAACATTTGTACAAGGAATGGCCTAAGAATTAGCCACTCTTAATACAAAAAGTTGGTTGTTTAGACTGTATTTTAACTATTGTTGTTCATCAAAGATAATGGTTATGAAGATATTATCTATAATACTGATGGACAGAATTACTGATAAATATTTAGTTAAGGTGACCGAGATATTCTGTTATTGTTATCGCACTCTTAACTATGTGACTTTGTACATGGAGAAGTTATGCTACCATACATATGACTGTATCTGATCTTCATAAATAACTGATACCAGATTAATTATTCTATCAATATACTTGCATTGGGTGATTTTCTAGTTGAATAACAGGATATATTTGTATTGGACTGATTTGGTAGTCTTTGGTTTTGCTGCAGTACTAATTTTTAGACTTTGTTTGGTTTGTTTGTGTTTTAGAACGGAGGGTCAGACTATGATGATGTCTTAGTTTGACTGTTGTGTAGTAGAACGGAGGGTCAGACTCTGATGGTGTCTTTGTTTGACTGTTGTGTAGTAGAACGGAGGGTCAGACTATGATGGTGTCTTTGTTTGACTGTTGTGTAGTAGAACGGAGGGTCAGACTATGATGGTGTCTTTGTTTGACTGTCGTGTAGTAGAACGGAGGGTCAGACTATGATGGTGTCTTTGTTTGACTGTCGTGTAGTAGAACGGAGGGTCAGACTATGATGGTGTCTTTGTTTGACTGTCGTGTAGTAGAACGGAGGGTCAGACTATGATGGTGTCTTTGTTTGACTGTCGTGTAGTAGAACGGAGGGTCAGACTATGATGGTGTCTTTGTTTGACTGTCGTGTAGTAGAACGGAGGGTCAGACTATGATGGTGTCTTTGTTTGACTGTCGTGTAGTAGAACGGAGGGTCAGACTATGATGGTGTCTTTGTTTGACTGTCGTGTAGTAGAACGGAGGGTCAGACTATGATGGTGTCTTTGTTTGACTGTCGTGTAGTAGAACGGAGGGTCAGACTATGATGGTGTCTTTGTTTGACTGTCGTGTAGTAGAACGGAGGGTCAGACTATGATGGTGTCTTTGTTTGACTGTCGTGTAGTAGAACGGAGGGTCAGACTATGATGGTGTCTTTGTTTGACTGTCGTGTAGTAGAACGGAGGGTCAGACTATGATGGTGTCTTTGTTTGACTGTCGTGTAGTAGAACGGAGGGTCAGACTATGATGGTGTCTTTGTTTGACTGTCGTGTAGTAGAACGGAGGGTCAGACTATGATGGTGTCTTTGTTTGACTGTCGTGTAGTAGAACGGAGGGTCAGACTATGATGGTGTCTTTGTTTGACTGTCGTGTAGTAGAACGGAGGGTCAGACTATGATGGTGTCTTTGTTTGACTGTCGTGTAGTAGAACGGAGGGTCAGACTATGATGGTGTCTTTGTTTGACTGTCGTGTAGTAGAACGGAGGGTCAGACTATGATGGTGTCTTTGTTTGACTGTCGTGTAGTAGAACGGAGGGTCAGACTATGATGGTGTCTTTGTTTGACTGTCGTGTAGTAGAACGGAGGGTCAGACTATGATGGTGTCTTTGTTTGACTGTCGTGTAGTAGAACGGAGGGTCAGACTATGATGGTGTCTTTGTTTGACTGTCGTGTAGTAGAACGGAGGGTCAGACTATGATGGTGTCTTTGTTTGACTGTCGTGTAGTAGAACGGAGGGTCAGACTATGATGGTGTCTTTGTTTGACTGTCGTGTAGTAGAACGGAGGGTCAGACTATGATGGTGTCTTTGTTTGACTGTCGTGTAGTAGAACGGAGGGTCAGACTATGATGGTGTCTTTGTTTGACTGTCGTGTAGTAGAACGGAGGGTCAGACTATGATGGTGTCTTTGTTTGACTGTCGTGTAGTAGAACGGAGGGTCAGACTATGATGGTGTCTTTGTTTGACTGTCGTGTAGTAGAACGGAGGGTCAGACTATGATGGTGTCTTTGTTTGACTGTCGTGTAGTAGAACGGAGGGTCAGACTATGATGGTGTCTTTGTTTGACTGTCGTGTAGTAGAACGGAGGGTCAGACTATGATGGTGTCTTTGTTTGACTGTCGTGTAGTAGAACGGAGGGTCAGACTATGATGGTGTCTTTGTTTGACTGTCGTGTAGTAGAACGGAGGGTCAGACTATGATGGTGTCTTTGTTTGACTGTCGTGTAGTAGAACGGAGGGTCAGACTATGATGGTGTCTTTGTTTGACTGTCGTGTAGTAGAACGGAGGGTCAGACTATGATGGTGTCTTTGTTTGACTGTCGTGTAGTAGAACGGAGGGTCAGACTATGATGGTGTCTTTGTTTGACTGTCGTGTAGTAGAACGGAGGGTCAGACTATGATGGTGTCTTTGTTTGACTGTCGTGTAGTAGAACGGAGGGTCAGACTATGATGGTGTCTTTGTTTGACTGTCGTGTAGTAGAACGGAGGGTCAGACTATGATGGTGTCTTTGTTTGACTGTCGTGTAGTAGAACGGAGGGTCAGACTATGATGGTGTCTTTGTTTGACTGTCGTGTAGTAGAACGGAGGGTCAGACTATGATGGTGTCTTTGTTTGACTGTCGTGTAGTAGAACGGAGGGTCAGACTATGATGGTGTCTTTGTTTGACTGTCGTGTAGTAGAACGGAGGGTCAGACTATGATGGTGTCTTTGTTTGACTGTCGTGTAGTAGAACGGAGGGTCAGACTATGATGGTGTCTTTGTTTGACTGTCGTGTAGTAGAACGGAGGGTCAGACTATGATGGTGTCTTTGTTTGACTGTCGTGTAGTAGAACGGAGGGTCAGACTATGATGGTGTCTTTGTTTGACTGTCGTGTAGTAGAACGGAGGGTCAGACTATGATGGTGTCTTTGTTTGACTGTCGTGTAGTAGAACGGAGGGTCAGACTATGATGGTGTCTTTGTTTGACTGTCGTGTAGTAGAACGGAGGGTCAGACTATGATGGTGTCTTTGTTTGACTGTCGTGTAGTAGAACGGAGGGTCAGACTATGATGGTGTCTTTGTTTGACTGTCGTGTAGTAGAACGGAGGGTCAGACTATGATGGTGTCTTTGTTTGACTGTCGTGTAGTAGAACGGAGGGTCAGACTATGATGGTGTCTTTGTTTGACTGTCGTGTAGTAGAACGGAGGGTCAGACTATGATGGTGTCTTTGTTTGACTGTCGTGTAGTAGAACGGAGGGTCAGACTATGATGGTGTCTTTGTTTGACTGTCGTGTAGTAGAACGGAGGGTCAGACTCTGATGGTGTCTTTGTTTGACTGTTGTGTAGTAGAACGGAGGGTCAGACTTTGATGGTGTCTTTGTTTGGCTGTTGTGTAGTAGAAGGGAGGGTCAGACTCTGATGGTGTCTGGTTGTGTTATAAACATGTGGCTAATCTTTGATAAATTATTTAAATAGGTTATGTACCTATGACCAGACATTTTTAGAGCCTTTTGTGTACTATCTATTGCCTTGTCATTAATTAATCTAGTCTTAGAAGAAGATGATCTTTATGTTAAGAGGTGTGTTCATTTTACATTTATATACTAAGTGCCTGAGCAAAGCAGCAAACATTGTGTTAATGCAATACGTGTTTAATACTGGTTACAGGTTCATCTTAGATCTTTTTAAGTCGTACTTCAATAAGGAACTCAAAGCGTTTACCACTAACATAATGCTAAAAAAAAACATGTGTTACATTAGATTTATGTTTGCTGTTCTTGCAATCAGGATATTTTGCTATCGCAAATTATATGTAATTTTAAAAACATTTTTGTTAGTTTTTATTTATTTATCCCTACACTCTGGTTACTGAAAATGAATTTGTCCATACATTTTTTTGCGTCTCTAAATGTATGACCATATATTACTAAAATAGGAATGTTTAGAATCTAGTTTCCTGCA